GACCTAAAACCAACGTCAGATCTGTGAGGAAGAAGAAAGTGATTTTATCATATTTCACCTATTAGTTTTATAAAACTTCTTGCACCTTTTCTGATCCAATGTAACTTACAAGTAGTCTTGTACCAAAATTACCAAAATATACACAAATTGAAGGAAATGAGGAAGACATTTGTAAAGCACGATTTCAAACCCCTAGCACCTCTTTTACAACCTCTAGTTTACTCATTAGTTTCAAAATAACATTATTTTACTAATTAGCTTTCCTTTGGAAGTATAAAAAACTAAAAATTATTTGATACTCATTTAATACAACAAAACAATGGTAATCAATAAACATAATGGAAGAAATGTCATGGGAAATTTGAGACAAATAACCGTTGTAATTGAATTATTAAGAATAAATAAATAAAACCAATCAAAGTAGAAAAAAAATCTCATTTATAGTCCTATTTGTATATAGTATAGAATGTCCATCCACTGGCAAATGACCACTAAGCATTTAAGCTACAAAAGTAAACCACGTTCAAAATTAACACACCAGTTATCTTATTGCAATAAAACAAGCATAAACATTTCAAAATTCAAAACACTTACTTGTGGTGGTGGTGGTGGAATTCCCACGAGGATCAAAATCATCAAAATCTTCGTCAGAATTATTTGTTTGGGGACTAGAACTGAAGGAGACACCCTTATTTGCAGAGTCATTTGACTTTTTTGAGAACTTCGATGTTCCCGATGATGTTTTACTTTGATCCTTGCTGAAAGAGAATTCTCCATATTAGGAAGCAAGACAATATAGAAATATAGAGGCAATGCCTGTCTGTTTATATATGAGACACAATAATTTAAGACCAAACAACATGAAACTTCACAATGAATTCTCCAAAATTTAATAACTCCAACCATAGACGCAATAACTTCTGTTCAACTTCTCATTTTAAAAAGATTATCCACTGACACTTCTCCAGTAATATAATTCTTCAATATATCACAGAGTCCAAACGAAACCTAGCAAAAGAACCATGGCTCAAAGGAACAGATGTATTGTTTGTTTGCAGAACCTACTCCAAGAATGTACCATCGTATTCAGCAAATAGAATCAAGTAAAAAGGTAAATATTCTATAAGTACATACCTGCTGTTTTGTGCAGAACCCTTGCTATAATCCTGCTTAGTAGACCAATTTGACCTTTTAAAGTCATCCTGATCTTCTTTTTCCTTCCTAAATGAATCCCTGTCGCTGCTCCTATCACGAAATCTATCGCTTCTAAAGCTACTCTGACCTTGATAACTATCACTGCTAAAGCTACTGCTGCCATACGAGGCTGAGCCTGACTTGTAAGTGATCCCAGTAGATGAAAGTCCAAAGTACCTAAGAATGGACATGTACATTAGTTATTTTGAAAAATCAATTTGCATTTTGACTGAGGTCCCAGTGAACTTTTAAATCATCTCAACCAAAAAGCTTAAGTTGATGATAACAATAAATTTAATTATATCAATACTTGGAAACTCTCACTCACTTGAAAGCTTGAAAATTTGTAAAAGACATCCCAAGAGGAAATCAATATTAATTTGACAGAAAATGACATTATAAGGTTTGAATACAGAACCTCTTGCTTTGTTACATGTTAAATCATCAAACAATCCAAAAGATTAAGTTGACGGGTTATAATAAATGTAATTATGTCTACTTTTTTTTTATAAGATAAATATTTTATTTTATGTCAATACTTCTAACATTAACCAAAATGATGAGAATTTGGTACTGAAACAAGCAGAATTTGCATAAATAAACTCCTAGGCTTACTGTAGATCTTGTTTAATTGCCTACATCCACTAATTTAGTGTAGAAGAAAGTAATTATAAGGAGAGATAGCACACAAAATTCAGTCCTTGCAAAATATAGATGAATAGTCGATAATGGCTACACTTATCTTCATTTGGCTGATATGAGCATTCGAACATATTTAATATAACCGATCTCGCAGCATATCACCCTAACTCTAAGGACGGCTCCCAGATTAAAGCCCAAGCAAACTGGTATAGTCTGATGCTATAATTATGGGAATTGTTAATGTCATTTATTTACTACATGGTCAGAGGTTTTACCCTCCACCCCCTTTTATTATTTTAACGAAGGATCAATTAGTGTGAGGAGAAGCTCATAAATATAACTGTCTATTCGTAGGTAGTCAATCTAAAGAAAGAAAATAGAATCAGATTCCTTAAATATTCACTTACTTTTCACGATTTGCAGCAGCTTTATTTCTCACTTCTTGTATTTTATCTTTATCATTCAAAAGGGCAACAATAGTTTCAGCCTTCTTCCTGACATTTATCCCCATGTCCTTGCCACTTGGCTCAACATATTCAAAATTCGAGAGTGACTATCCAACAAAAATAAAACACACAAAAAAAAAATAAGACAGTCTCTAAAGAGCTGAACTGCACTGTAAAGCAAATTTTCAAAACATTCTTACAGATATCTGGAAAGTATGTTCAATAATGTCATCCACGGCACGTTCAGATCCATGCGACACCAAATATTCTATTACAGCCAAAGCCTGAAGAAGTTGACAGTGCCATTCATAAGCAAGAGTGATATTATTTGTCAGGTAATAAGATCATATTCAACTGGGAACAAATAAAACTTTACCTTGTAGACAAGACGCCAATTCTTACCAGTTTCACTCAATCTTGTCCAGAGAACACTCATAACCATCTGAGTTTCAGAACTGAACAATTAAAATCAACCGTGAAACAAAAATCAGTGCTTGATTGAAGAAGGAAAGAGCGGTATGGAATGAAAAGAGTTGTAACTTTACAATTTCTTTGTAGCTTGCGCTATTTCTGCCAGTGCGGATCCATGAGGACCCCATGGTTCATCATCTGTTGCATCTAGCACCTGTAGCAGTGATGACAACCAGTTATGAAATCACATTGAGAAGTTCAATCCTCCAACAATACAATATTAAATACTTCATCAGAGGTGGGTCTGCTCTGAAACTTAATCCATTGTATCTGAAAAGGCAAGCCCCTGAGGGCCATCCGGAACATGACCGATCGAATTGAAATATCCACTTAAATGGAAAACGGAGGAGTTCAAAAGAATGTGATTGCAGCATGGATTTGGACCACATGCCTAGTAATCGCCATTGTTGGAGTTGAATGCTACAATACTAAGCAACATCAATATTCCCAGAAATCCACCCAAATGATGCTGGAATCACATTCTTCAGAGAAGGGTGGAGCGGGATATTGATAATTGAACTAACGGCTCGAGAGTTTCTTAGATCTATTAACGGCAAGGGAGGAAGAACCCATAACAATAACGAGGTAAACATCTAAATCGAGATATCAGCGAAAAGAAAATGCATTATCCAAACCTTCTGTTCGATTTCCGGAACCTTCAAGACCTTCAAATTCACCTCCCTCTTTCTGTAATTAATAGATAGAATAAAAATGGAAACCACATCAAAAATCAAAGTTTAAAGCTAACAGAAGGTTAACTTCCATCTAGAGAACCAAATATATATAACCGGGGGAAAAGATTGGGTATCCAAATTGAATATGAACTAGTTCGAGCCTCACATTTCACGGACAGTTTGATCGAAAACCTTCATGAAATCCATGGCAGATCTGCGAAATCTATCACAAAATATTACAAAATTAAAACCAGAGAATACGAGAAATTGGAGAAAGATCTAGCAGTAGATCCAAACCGAAAACACAAAAGAAAAATTCAGAGAGCTGGAGCTAATATAGTTAACAGTAATCGATTCCGAAGAGAAAAGAGAAACAAACAAGAATTGATGTACCTAAGAGTAGCAGGGAAGCTTCAGATCCTGGGAAAGACGGAAATCAGAGGAGGAGTCCGCGATGATTGTTTCAACCTTCTTTACGTCTGTGATGGCGGAAGATAAAAGCCGAAAGAACAGAAGAGACAACGAAGCAATATTTCTTAGTTGAATTTGGTTTTTTAATTTTGAAATAAAATTTTGTATTTTACTTCCATCCTACACTTAATTTTTTTTAAAAAAAATCTAATACATCAATCAATACTTCATTTTAAATAAAAATAATAATTAATTAATATCCTCCGACTTCTAAAAAATATTAAAATATTTTTATCACTAGAAATGTCAGATCCTCCAACATCTTATATACCGATGTCGTTCGATATTTTAAATATTGATTAAAAATAAGTTATATATGCACACACGTGATAATTTAATGCAGGATTTATAATTGTCTCGTGTTCTATATTTTGAAACATGTAGCAACCTTAACATAAATCAATTAGTTAAGAATGTTGAGGAAAGTCCCACGTGCTAATTTAGGGAATGATCGTCTGTTTATAAAATGAGTATTATCTACCTGAGGCCTTTTACGGAAGCTCAAACCAAAGCCACGAGAGCTTATGCTCAAAGTGGACAATATCATACCATTGTGGAGAGTCGTGTTCAACTAACATGGTATTAGAGCTATGCCCTAAATTTAGCCATGTCAATAGAGTCCTCAAACGTCGTCGAACAAAGGATTTCAAAAGAAAGAGGAGGCGTACTTTGTTCGAGGAGAGATGTTGGATGAAAGTCTCACATCTGCTAATTTAGGGAACGATCGTGGGTTTATATTAAGGAATACTCTCTCTATTGGTATGAGGCATTTTGGGAAGCCGAACGCAAAGTCATGAGAGCTTATGCTCAAAGTGGACCATATCATACAACTCTAGAGAGTCGTGTTCAACTAACAAAGAATAATACAATCATTAGCTTTCAGGGATGTTAAACCCTAACATTTAGTGTTGTTTTATCTGATTCAATAGCTAGATCAGTCCTAAATGATTCCTTAGCACTCAGTTTGCTTCTTTCATTGTTGTTAGAATATTGACCTTGGTATCTGTTACTTAGTCTCTCCTCTAGTCTATCGAGAATTGTTGGGAGAAAATCTCACATTAGCCAGCTTGATGATCAAGAGTTTATACATGAACGGTCGTGTTTCTAACATAGTATTAAAGTCATGTCTTTAACTTAATCATGTCAATAGAGTCCTTCCAAAGTCGAACAAAGAAGTTGTGAACCTCGAAGGTGTAGCCAAAATGGTGTACTTTGTTCGAGGGCTCTAGAGGGGGTCGAGCCTCGATTAGGAAAGAGGTTATTAGAATGCTCCATACGATAAGAGATATGTATTTGTTATGTGTTTGTTAGAGACATAATTTACCATTTTTCTCCTTAAAAAACATGCTGCAGATCATGTCGGGTGAGAAGTCACAGCCCCAATCTTCCATTAAACCCCATTCATCTCTACCATAACCACTGCCGCCGGGAACCATGTCGGAGAAGCTTGAAGGGGAGACATTAGGAGTCTGAAACTGAGCAACAGAGTCAAAACCAGCAGAGTTTGAGATTGTTTGTGGCAGTGAGGTCTCGGTGCTGCTCATGGTTTGGAGCTTGGTTTTGCCTGCTGCAACTAACAGCTTCTTCTTCTTCTTCAGTTTAGTATTCCAATGGTTTTTCACATCATTGTCTGTTCTACCAGGGAGCTGAGAGGCTATGCTAGACCATCTGACCCACAACACAACAATCAACAATTATCGCCTTGAAACTTTAACTAAACAATACGATCGAAGTTTTTAAAACGCGTCTGTTATAGAGAGGTAACACGTCTGTTATGGAGAGATTTACACACCCTTATGAATGCTTCGTTCTCCTCTCCAACCGATGTGGATCTCACAATCCAGCCCTGACGCATTTGTTAGGGAGAGGTTTCTACACCCTTGTAAAGAATGCTTCGTTCTCCTCCCCAACCAATGTCGATCTCACAATCCACACTCTTTCGGGGCCTAGCTCCTTGCTGGCACACTGCCTAGTGTGTATCCTCCTTCGAGGCTCAGCCTCCTCACTGGCACATCGCCCGATGTCAGATACTATTTGTAACACTCGAGCTCACTGCTAACCGATATTGTCCTTTTTGGACTTTCCCTTTCAGCTTTCTCTCAAGATTTTTAAAACACGTCTCCTAGGGATAAAGAGCGGTTTCCACACCCTTATAAACAATGTTTCGTTCTCCTCCCCAACCGATGTAGATCTCACAATCCGCCCCCTTTGGAGCCCATCTCCTTGCTGGCACACCACCTAGTATCCACCCTCTTCAGGGTTCAGCCTCCTCACTAGCACATCACTCGGTGTCTGGCTCTGATACCATTGTAACACCCAAGTCCACCGCTGACACATATTATCCTCTTTGGACTTTTCCTTTCAGGCTTTTCCTCAAAGTTTTAAAACATGTCTGCTACATAGAGGATTCCACACCCTTATAAAAAATGTTTTGTTCTCCTCCCCAACCGACGTGGATCTTAAAATCCACACCCTTTCAGGACCCAACTTTGGCACACCGCCTAATGTCTACCCCTTTCGAGGCTCAGACTCCTCGTTGGCACATCACCCAAGCTTTCCCTCAAAGTTTTAAAAGCCTAAGAGAGGTTTCCACACCCTTATAAATAACGTTTCGTTCTCCTCCCCAACCGCGAGGTGAGATCTCGCATAAAAAATCTTAATTCCGAACTCTTGTTTCAGAAGAACATCGAAAATTTCAGATTCTAAAGAGAAAAACAAACATATCTATATAGATTCAGGGCTGAAAAAACTACCAAACTTGCCTGCTTCCATATTGATTATAGAGATTAAAGATGAGATTGTCTTCATCCTCTGTAAAGTCTCCATGCTTGATGTTGGGTCTAAGATAGTTTAGCCACCGTAACCTGCAGCTCTTGCCACATCTCTTTAGCCCTGCAGTTTATAATACATAACAGAGAGATATCAAACATAAATGGTGGTAATTCAAGTTGGAAACAAGAAAGAGAGTTCACCAGCTTTTGTGGGCAGAGCAATCCAGGTGCCTGCAGTGCCATGAGTTTCCACATAGAGTTTGAGAGTGGCATCCTCATCAGGGGACCAAGGACCTTTCTTTACATTGGCTTTGTCACAACATGGAGCTCTTCCCATGGCTGCTTGCTTCTTCACCCTATCTCACCCCCCAAGGTTGAATGGGAGAGGGGTTTGCTGCTAATGCTTCTAAAGCTGGCTCAATTACAAAATCATCAATGGCCACAAATCAAGTGTGTTTAAGATAATTCATTATCATTTATCATTTCTATAAAGGTGTGGAAACTTCTCTCAAGTAAAAGCATTTTAAAAATTTTGAAGGGAAGCTCGAAAGAAAAAGTCTAAAGAAGATAATACCTGCTAACGGTGGACTTGGGTCATTACAAGTGGTATCAGAGCCGGACATCGAGTGATGTGTCAATGAGGAATCTGAGCCCCGAAGGAGATAGACATTAAGCGGTGTATTAGCAAGGATGCTAGGTCTTGAAGGGGGGTGGATTAGGGGGTCTCACATTGATTATAAAAGGGAACGAGTACCAACGAGGACGCTGGGCTCTGAAGTGGAAGTGAATTGTGAGATCTTATATCGGTTGGGGAGGAGAACGAAGTATTCTTTAAAAGGGTGTGGAAACTTCTCACTACCAGACACATTTTAAAAATCTGGAGGGAAAACTCGAAACAAAGTCTAAAGAGAACAATATTTGCTAGCGGTGGATTTGGGTCGTTACAAATGGTACCAAACCCAGACACTGATGTGTCAGCGAGAAATCTGAGCCCCAAAGGGGGTAACCATTAGGCAGTGTGCCAACAAGGAGCTGGCCCCAGAGGGGAGAATGAAGCTTTCTTTACAAGGGTGTGAAAACTGCTCCCTAGCAGACGCGTTTTTAAAACCTTGAGAGAAACCTCAAAGTAGACAATATTTGCCAGTGGTGGACTTGGATTATTACAAATTGTATCAGAGCCAGACACTCGGCGATGTGCCAACAAGGATGCTGAACCTTGAAGGGGGTGGACACGAGGCGGTGTGAGGTGGATTGGGGGTCCCACATCGATAGTAGAAAGGAAGAAGTGTCAACGAGAACGCTAGGTCTTAAAGGGAGGTGGATTGTGAGATCCCACGTCGGAAGTGCCAAATATCGGGACTTGGACCTATTTCGACACTAGTTTTTGTCCGAAGACGAGGAAAGTTCCAAGTTTTCTCACAAGTAACAATGAAGCATATGAATGTGAAATAGCATATGGGTCCACTCTATAATGATATTCCCTCACAAAATGGCTCAATTTCAGTGCTTTTTTCCTCGAATCCAAATTTGGGATTCAATTATGTGCACTACTTACTTTACAAGGAAATGATATCAAAACCATACTCTATTCTTCTCACAACATCTCACATGCTATGCTTTAGCTCATCCCATAATGGGAGACTCTTAAAGAATCTTTGCTTGTTTTCTAACCTATTTGGTTAAAGTTCGAAAAGAGGGCTAGAGGGTCGTAAACCGACGAGGCTAGAGACCAGAATTAGTAAGTCTTTCCCCTTATAAAATGTTTTGAAATTAGCATCGAATGATACACGTGATTTGAACTTTTTTACGTCAGAAGTCCACTAATTATGTTCGAACTCAATTTAATATGTTTTAGATCAACTTGAACATAGTACAATTGATTGAGACATATACTATCATCCAAAAGATGGTAGGCGCGTGTAAGCTATATTCCACGTGCTGAACTCAAACACAAAATTTATATATTTTAGATGGCGTTTATTAACTATTTGGTTTTTTAAAAATCGATCCTAGAGATGATGAGAAAATAAACATAATTTCTAACCACCAAGACGATAGAGTTTTTTTTCTTTTTTTTTTGTCGAAAATAATAATAATAAAAAATATATTTGTTCGCTCTAAACTCGAGACCACTTCTAATTTTATTTAAATGTAGATTTCACGATATTGGAGATTACAAATGACCCTTATAATCACGCTATAAATCACCGAGTTCTAAGCACTACAATGAGAAATACATAGGATAAACAAAAAATAAGTTTTTCGAGTTTTAGTCACATCTAAAAATAACGTAAAAGAAATGGTTAAACCGAATGATATCATTAAGTCGACTTCCTCGACTCGATTTTAGCTTGTTTTGACCATTCTAGACTGTTTTGACGTCACTACTTATGTAATTAAGGTAGAAAAATGTTAGTATAGCTATTGTATTGGAAAATTATAATATTTAACACTGTTTAGGGTACTTAAGTTATATCGACTCCATAACTAGACTTTAAACTCGATTTTCTAAATGAATGGAATATCTTAGGTGAAATTGAATTTTCGTTGACCTGAACCTAGAACGGCAAGTTAAGATGAGCTTAGGAGGACTACGTTAAGCCTGAAATTGTAAGCTAACGTACTGTTAGAACATCAACGAGGTAGCTTGAACGAAATTGTTTTAATGCACGAATAACATGTATCTTGTGACCCTATTTACGTATTATTATTTATGCTATGATATTTAAATGAACTATATGATGAACGTATTTCCTTTTATACATACATCTGGTGAAGAAATTATGTCACGATTGTTGGATAATGAAAGTCTCACACCTGCTAATTTAGGGAATGATCATAGGTTTATAATCAAGGAATACAACGGTGTGAGGCCTTTTAGGGAAGCTCAGATCAAAGTCATGAGAGCTTATGTTCAAAGTGGACAATATCATACCATTGCGAAGAGTTGTATTTGTCTAACATGGTATCAAATCCTCAAATGTCGGGACTATCGTACCATTGTGAACAGTTGTGTTTCTCTAACATGGTATCAAATCCTCAAATGTCGAACGATATTATTGACGTTCTTTTTTTAACGGTGGGAGCATACCTAACCCACAATCAGACCTAGAGGTACAATAACGATCTCACCGAGTTGGGTTCTATCCATTGTGAATTAAAACAAATTTATTGATTCCCTTTGAGTTTCTTTACAAATAGGGAAAATTATGGAATCATTCACTTTCTCCACGTATTAACATCAAACCCATTTACAGAAATTAGCATAAAAGAAACAACAAAACGATTCGTTTCACAGAAAACTGGATAATGTAAGAATTGGAATCCATGGCGACGGCGGCGGCGGCTTCTTCTTCATTCTGAAATTAGCTTTGAGATCCGGCCGATATCAGTGGCCGGATTCTGTCCACCGAATTCTCTCTCATTAATTTGGCGTACATTTGGGCACGGAGGTTTCTTCCAGATTCCACTCTCTCCATTGCCGGTTCTTCTTCGAAAGTTCTGTCCCACAGATCGAACCCGCCGGAGTTCCGCCGGGGGCTTGAATCGAAGCCGGAGACGGCTGGGTTTTTCTTTGATTTGTCAAGCTGGAGATTGTGCATCAGTGGGACTAATCTGCTGAACGATTCGCCGCCGGTGGTTACAGGGCTGATCGGAGACATTGGAGGCGAATCCGGCGAGATTAGGATCGACGTCGGCGATGTTACAGCAGAGGCGATTTCCTTAGCCGCCCGTGGAGACATGAGGCTCTGTTTCGCCGGAATCCGGAGTTGCTCCAACGTATGGGCGAAGAAACAGACTCGCCGCCGGCAGGCGATTCCGTCACGGCACGGCTGAGTCCGGTACCGGTCTGGGTGGAGCCAAATTTCGAATGTACCATGAGCGAACTCACAGGCGTCCCCTTTCTTACAACACCCATGGCGTAAAGCAGGGCATTCAGTACCAGAATAGTTGAACTTCCTCGGATCACGGCGGCGAGCCTTCTCGCCGACGTGAGCGTACGGACATTTAGTCCAATCGTGGGACCTCCCACGTGCGCACGAGCGAACTTTGAACTCGTACATACGAAAATCGTCGCAGGTGAACGCGTCCACCGCCGCCGGCAGTTCCTGTTCCTCCCAGAATGACGAATCGAACTCCATGACCGCTCTCGTGGGCGAATCGAGCGGCGACACGTGACCGGCAGTGAGATAGGAGGAGATTGCGGCGGCGGTGGGATCGTCGAGGGAGTCCCAGGATGAAAAATGGGCGGATGGATTGAGAAGCATTGATTCAGTGATCATAATGAATTGAATTGTGTGAGAGAAACGCCGTGGGGAGGGATTTTAAAGACGGAAATTCGACTGGAAACTGCCAGATTTTTCTTTTGTTCCGGCGGAGCGCGGAAGAGACGGTGGTGGCTCTTTCAACCGTGGTCGTTTACTCAACGAACTCGCTCTGTTTTATCCCGTTAAATATCTAGCAAATCCCGGGGTGTGCTACTCTGTTCCCATGTCCATTGTCATCCCCTGCACCTCCTTGTTTTTATTTTTATTTTTCCTTTTTCCCTCTCTTGGCTTCTAATTTAAGATTGCATTATTTGTACTTTTTCTTTAATTATTAAATTATGGGTTTGACTTTTTGGTCTCCCTTCAAATATTTATAATTATCGTCTTAATTTCATATCTAATAAATCTTCGTTTTTTTATTTAATTGTAAAAATTATTTAAAATTACTACATTAGGTAAATAAATATTTATATAAGGTAATTAATATACTTACAAATGTTCAAATAAAATAATTTGAAAAACTCTCTAAATATAGAAACTTTTTAGTTAATATTAAATTAATTAATTTAATTTTGTTTTTTTTAGTTTTAACCATAATTATATTTAGTTTTGCATGAGATAAAATTTTATAATTTAATCGTTTAAAATTTGATTTTAAATTTACCGTGACAGAGATTAAATAATATTGATTTTTAAAATAATTGTTAGTGTCTAAGGAGCGAGAGCGGAGTTCAATTATTAATATTAAAATAATAATAATAATAAATAAATACGTAATTATGAAGGGTGATTTAAAGTATGTTGGGTGTGTAGGTGGACAAAAATATTGGGAGGTTATAATGAGAGTGGATTTTATGGGACAAGTATGTGAAGGACGTGGACAAATATCATCAAACTCACATGCTTGAGGGACACTTGGAGGCTTAGGTGGACAATAATTTTTTAAAAATTATTTTAGGATTTCCCTAAAAGGCAAAAATAAAAAAATAAAAACAAGGAGATTGCTTCTATTATCCACGTGGGCGAAGATGATGAGGTGGGCTTGGATATTTGTCCACGTGGTGGCTGTTACTTGGCGGTGATGGGTTGGTGCTCCACATGATTCTTGGCTTTCTCAAATCAACTATTATCCACGTGGCACACTTGATATTTCTCCAGCTTTGTTATTCCTCGAGATTCTCATGATCATGACCGTTGACCATACCGTTTGTTTTTTATTTAAATATTAAAAATAAAATGTTTTAAATTTTGGAGGTCGATTTTATCCGTGACGACAGACTTGCGTGGCAATGCCTAGAGGGTTATCCACAACTAGGTTCCACGTGGCTGGTTTTTTTATGGCGGATTGGCCTAGTACAATTTTATATATAATAAATATATTAAATTAATAAAAATATTTTTTAAAAATAATAGTATCTTTAAATTTAATTTTTTTAATATCTTTAAATTAAAAAAAAAATAATATCATTATCTTTTAAAAAATATTATTAAACTTTTAAAACAATTTTAAAAATACATTTAACTTTTTGAAAATGTCTTAAAAATACTCTTAATTTTTTTTTTTAAATTTTGTTAATAACCTCGACCATTTTTTAAAACTTCAAAAACATTTAAAGCTATTTAAAAAAATTTAAAAATATTCTTACCTTTAATATCAGGAGTTTTTTTTTTTTTTTTTAATCTGACAGTAAAAATTTTAATTTTTTTATTTTTTTTAAGTGAGAGTGTGATGCTACTTTCCAAAGGGAAGAATATCTACAAAACTTTTTTAAATTTAATGATATTTTTAAAATAAAATACGGAAGGAAAACATAATTTTAGATTTTTTTTTTAATTTAAGAGAATTATAGAGAATTTTAAAATTTTAGAAACATTTTTTTGGTAAATTATATTGTTTAAAGTTATTTTATTAATTATTTTAAAGTTGAGTCTAAATTATTATTATTTTAAAGTTTTAATGATAAAACTTCTCAATTTTAAATATATAAATTAATTTTATTGAAAACAATATTCCACTCATTAATGTTCTCTTTTATTTAGTGGATAAGCTCGACATTACTTTCAAAATGAAGTTTTATTCTATACGTTTAACGCGTTTAGATGCTTAATTAAGAATAATTATTTTATGAGTAAAATTAATTTGACGAAATGCTTAGCTTAATATTGTAGGTAGAATTTTAAAATCAAAAGCATTAAATTTTGGGTTTATTGAATAGGGTTGTGAGTTCGTATGGTGGTTAATTTGGATGAGATAAGTTCATACAATTTTAGAGTTAAAATTGTTAAATTAAATGCTTTTGTGTTTATTTTTGGATGCAACAATAATGAGTAAAGATGAAAAAGATGCAATAATAATGGTTGGATATTTTGACATGACATTCCATTTTTATCCTTTGCATTCATATGTAATAGGCCAAAATGAACAATATATGCTAGCGGCAGGCTTGGGCGGTTACAAATGGTATTAGAGTTAGATACTGGGTGGTGTGCTAGTGAAAACGTTGGACCCCCAAGGGGAAGATTATGAGACCCCACATCGGTTGGTGTGACGGCCCAGATCCACCGCTAGCAGATATTGTTCTCTTTGGGCTTTCCCGTTCGGACTTCCCCTTAAGAGTTTAAAACGTGTTTGTTAGGGGAAGGTTTTCACACACTTATAAATTGTGGTTTGTTTTCCTCCCCAACCAATGTGGGACATCACAATCCACCCCCCTTCGGGGCAATGACACTCTTTCATTCCTCCAATCGATGTGGGACCGCCCCCAAATCTACTTCATTTGGGGCCCAACGTCCTTACTGGCATACCGCCTCGTGTCTACCCTCTCCCCCACCCCCTCGGGGAACAACGAGAAGGTTGGCACATCGTCCAGTGACTGTCTCTGATACCATTTGTAACAGCTCAGATCCACCGTGAGCAGATATTATCCTCTTTGGACTTTTCCCTTTCGGGCTTCTCCTCAAGGCTTTAAAACGCGTATGCTAGGGAAAGGTTTCCACACCCTTATAAATGGTGGTTTGTTCTCCTCTCCAACCAATGTGAGACATCACAGTTGGAGAGGGGAACGAACCATTTCTTATAAGGGTGTGAAAATCTATACCTATGAAACATGTTCTATGATATGTAACGAGTCAAAACGAATAATATCTTATGAATTAGCTTGTGAAACAATTTTGGGTTGGTTTGGGTTAGGGCGGCGTGAACTATGCAATTTTCCAGGTGAGTTCAGCAGCCCAACGGCCCAACCAAGAATTGACGTCCAAAATACAATTTAAGTAGAAGTATGGATGGGGCCAGAGAGAGGAGCATCACATCACATCACATCACATCAGACATCACATCTCTGGTGGCAGCAGCAGTCAGGCTACTGGAGTTACTGCATTGCCTTCACAGTTCTTCATCGATCTATAGACACAAATGATGGGAGTAACTATACTTTATATAGTGTATATATCTATTTAATATCTTAATATAAGATAAATATTTAGATATTTACTTTTTTTACTGTGTCTATCTATCAATTTATTATTCTTTTCGATCATTTATTTAATTATAAATAGATAATTTTTGGTGTGTGGTTTCTACTGATATTCTCATCCAACTATTTAAGCTAGGTGGAGCTTTGGCCGGTTCATTTTGATTTTTTCGAGATTTGGAACGTTTTTTTTTCGAACCCTTCCAAATTCAAATTCATGAGTTTTTTTTTTCTTTTAGTTTTTCATATTGATTTTGTTTAATTTTACAATTTACTATTATTATTATCCTATTATCATTTATTCCACTATACATCATATTTGAATTTTGAGCTATAATACATATAATTAAAATTTTATATAATTTTATTATAATTATTGATGAATAAACCCATGAGAATTAAATTAAAATAGTATAAAATTTATAAATATCTCATTTAATATAATTTACTCTATCATATACAATAATTACCACTTAAATTTTATATAATTTACTAAAATCATTTATTTGAAGATAATTATTAGGAATTATTACAAAATAAACTAAAAATACATCAATAAAAAATTAGTGTAATTATAAAATATAATATGTAATATTACAAACGACAATATTTTTGAAATAAAGTTAAATATTAATTAATAAATGGAAAATGGGAGGAGGAATTAAGTGACGCAGGTGTTACATAATATTGTTAATATTATAATAATTAATAAACAGTTATTTATATTTTGAAACTAATTTGGTGTTTTTATTTGACATGACACCAACACCAACCTCATGCTTGCTCCATCTATATTATATAAAGCTGCCTCTGCATTCCGGACTATACTCCAATAATTTAACCTAATTTTGTTACACGACGAACATGGTAGATATTATTTATTTTAATTGGCATAAACTTTCATCGTTAGAAGGTTCAATTTATTTGTGAGACTCGACCTCGTGGAAAAGGAGCAGAAACATTGTTTATCCATTAGATAAATAGAATTAGAGACGAGATTATATTCTTTGTTCCTGTCCAATTCTCCACTCTGCTCGTTTAATATAAATATATTTTTAATATATGTTTTTGACTATATTAAATAAATAAAATAGTTAATTTTGAGACGTGGGTAGAAAAATTTGCTTATGTTTTACCATTTTTTCTAATAAAAATTATATTGAAAAAATAAAAACTATTTTTAAAATAATAATAAATTGGAAAAAATTATCGGCCGGTGCAAATTCTTTATGGGTATTCTCTACCGTGATCTCTACAAAAATAAGTGAAAAATTTCGTGAGGATGGAGACGGGAATGTCTTCCCTATACCCATGGATCGGTTGGTATAATTTGGGTTAAAATACAATGTTCACATCCGATATGAACAGACTGTCTCTCAACATTTTGAACTCATCTCACGTATCATTTTAATGAGTGAATAACCCAACCCTTAAAACATACTACACCTCTACCGGGTTACAATTAAATATATTATTCTCTTGTCACATCATTTGAAATTATTTATATTATTTATTTATAAAATAAATATGAGCTTGATATTTGAAAAAGAAAAAAAGAAAAAAAAAAGTGTGAATAAAGGGGAAAGGATTCCAAAGTTACCTGATTAGACATAACAATAGCGAGTGAATAATGAACGGTCTTCGGTGTGCTTATTCTTGTTCATAATTAAAGAATAAACGCATGATTAGTAGGAACGCGTACATTATGATGTGATTATATTGTATTATGTACACCATGATACTATGTGCACTCTCTTCCCTTCGTGGTATAAAGGCAATGTGGTGTACGTTAGTCAGAGGCTAGGTCTAGGGAGTACGTATACGAGCTCACTTGATGGTTTATGTGCGTATGTGTGGACCATGTGTAGAGAAATACTATACATACAATTCTTCTCGAACCAGAAGTTGAGACCAAGGGCATGAAATGATAAGTCTCAAATATGATTGTATGTGATTGCATTTTCTGACACTAGTAGTGAGATTCTTTACCGAGTATTTCTTAAAGTACTCAAATCATGTGCTACTTTTACTTTTCAGGTAAAAGCAAGACATATCTGCATAGATGACGACGTCATGGTGATAGTCATGAGACTGAAGTTAGGGTAGATACATTTTCACCATATTAGTAACTCTTAGATTAAGTTAGGGAATTGTTTTACTTTCTACCTTGTTTTTATTTAAATTTCATGTTGTTGTTGTTTCTACCGTAATCGTTTAACAATTTTATTATTAATATATAAATTCAGGACATTGTTTTAAATGTTTTTTTTTTCTTTTCAGTTTCGTAATTAAGTCATGCATGTAATAGCAGTTTTATTTCGGTAGTAAACAGAAGGTTACATATGCATTCCTTTTATAAGTTGAAAAATAATTCTTCTAGCAAACTTTGTCTTCAAAGTCATGTTTTCTCATAAAATTATTAGAAGGTCATAGAATTGTTCCAAGTTAAATACTTACCCTTGCCTTCAACAAGCCTATCTTTGTCTCTCTTGTCTATTCAATGTCTCTATCTTGCTTGTGTCTCAACTTGTCTTCAATGCCCACTTCGTGTGGTGTGTTAGATGATGCACCGTTCTCCTCGTTCGCATCATGACACTCGTCTAGGCCCTCGCGCGGTCAGATGGGCGCCACTTGAAGGTCGCCGCTTCTCTTATCGCAATATGAAGGTCACAACCTACTCTCTTCGTAGTTAGGTTGTGACATTTTTCCCCACTTAAACTACTCATCGTCCTCGATAACTTACTTATGGGCACAACCATTGTTAGGTTGTGACATTTCAACAGTAAAATTTAAATGACTAAATCACTAAAAGAAAAGGTACGTATGGTTGAAATAGACAGTAACTATAAATTATTCTAAGTATTTCTTAACCGTCGTGTCCTTAGGAGTCAATGTTTTGTCTTTCTTCGGTCCCTTTCAACATTAGGTGCAGCCCTCATTTAAGAACTTCAGCCTTTTCCTCCCCCTCCCATCAATTTGCCCTTTTCTTTTCACTGTTTACCCTTCAAATTTGTACCTTTTCTTCTTAGCAATACCAAGGGATGAAAAGAATAAAAGATAGAAAGATAATGAGATAAAGTCCATATAAAACTCAAACCATATCCATTCAATTTGCATAAAGAACCATATTACAAAAATGTGATCCATATGTTTTACGAACATAATCTTGATTGGCCAATCGTTATCGTAAATTTTACTCAAAGATTGATTGATTTACTAGTGAAAGAATCTAATAATTAGTTTTGCAGTATACGGCATGGACTATTAATCGGTAGTATGAAGTATTTTTGTACCAATAGGTGCTGACCCTATCGATTCTTTTGAGTTTTGGACTAGCAACCGTACTCTCAAGTAGAGTGCTTCACACCATACCCCGACATTAGTAGGGACCCAGAAAGCTATCCCTGCTTTTCGTATTTCACGTCATGAAATTTCTCTCCAAAATTAGTGAATTTTAATGTCATAATCTTAAAAAAAAAATCCATTTTGGTTAGCAATTATAGAGAGGAGGCATGCATGCATGCATCTACATACATCCATCCATCCATACACATACATTAAGAGGTGTCCAATCTTTCAACATCATCACACTTTTTATATATTATTCGAAGGAAAAAAAGAAAACGTCTTGTCCAGCACTTAAGTCGCCGGAGACATCGCCGTCGCCGTCGTCCTTGTCTCTCTCTCTAGCTACACCATAGTAGCCAAAAAAACAACCTAGAAATTTCCGAAATCAGCTCGTTTCAGTTCAGTTCCCTTCAAAACTAAAATTTGATACAAACCCATCTTTTAAAATAAAAAACCCATTTCAAAAATTAAAAAAAAAAAACAATCTTTTTGGCTCTGTTCTTTGGAAATTGACTGCTAGCTTTTTCCCATTACTTCACTGTTTAATTATTCCCCCACTTTAGGGTTTTGTAATAATTCCATTTTCCTTTCTCTCTCTTCTGTTACTCAGTTATTTTTGTTCTTTTAATGGAAGATCAGTACAACCCTAATTTTCATTATCATCATCATCAAGAACAGCAACAACAAGTTCATGATTTTCAAATAAGTAGCGGTGGGAGTAAGGATATTGATGTTATGAAGGCCAAAATCATCTCCCACTCTCAATTCTCTAATCTCCTCCAAGCTTTCTTGGATTGCAAAAAGGTTGACTTGGGTCACTTTAAAATTTTGAAATTATGAGATGAGCTAATTAAAGGCAGGGTTTTTTTTTTTTTTTTTTTTTTTTTTTTTTTTTTTTTTTTTTTT